AGGCGTCTCTATAGCTCGCGTCACACTGCGAAGGAAATGACGTGGCACATGCAGGGGCATTCGAAGGATCCAGACTTAATGCATCATCCAATTGATGGTAAGGAGTGGAAAGATTTAGATATGAATTATCCTGAATTCGCTAAGGAACTAAGAAACGTTCGATTAGGTTTAACTACTAATGCACATCAATTTATTTGAATTCCATTTAGAATTTAAATAACAAGTCTAAATGATGTTTTTTTAGAGATATACAATCCTCAACAATGTAACTTTCCAGAAGCCACTAATCATTGGTTTCACTATCATCTGGTTCAAGCTTCTTTGTTCGGTCTTATTCTGGTTGTGTAGTCAACGGAGTTAAGTTTTTAACATACAACCGAGACAAAGACCGAACTACTGAGAATAGTGGTATTTGTGTCCGCAGGGCAAATAATTAAGTTTTCTACGGAGTCTTGGAAGATATTGTTGAATGACTATACATAAACAACAATTCAGTCTTCCTTTTCAAGTGTAAGTGGTTTGACACTCGGGCAGAAAGAAGTAGAATTCAACAATACAAGAATAGAATAAGTATCTTTGTTAAGGACTCGTGGTATGAGAATGAACCTTTCATTCTAGCTTCCTAGGCGAAACACGTTTTTTACGTTGATGATTTATTTAACGGTTCGAATTGGAAAGTTATGGAACATTTTGGGAATAGACATATATGGAATTTTTTAGAAGAGGACGTCGACAAGGTCATGATAGTTCAAGACACAGAATCACGAAATGTTGAGTTAGTTGTTGAACTACTTGAACTGGACAACTTAACATTTGATCGGCCTGATGTCGAAGTAAATACTGTCACATCTGACGTCGACACATATTTGCGCGACAAGTCGCCTGTTGAAGATGACTTTATTGACGACAGTGATAATGAAACTGTATTTGACTATATCAAAGATGAGCTCGTCGAGTCTGAAGATGATGATGTCTTAGAAAGTGCCAATGATGTTGAAGACATTTGTAGTGACGATGAATAGAAATAAAGTAGTTATATTATATTTATGAATTTTTTTATATATTTGTTAAGAAATAAAGTAACTAATAAAGATATTTTTTTATACGACACAAAGTCACGATGTCTGGCCCAATAGCTATATGCGCCAGTTCTGCAGGAAGATCACAGCCTCTACCTGATCCGACAAGACTCCCGGCACATTGTCAGTCAGATATTATATGCTATAACACAGTACTCTATATAATCAAATTTCATTATTTTTATTTTCTTACAGTTCCAGAGCCAAGACATCGACGTCACTCTGGTCAAGGGGTAGTCTAGGTCGAGATATAGTAGAGAGGGTACAAAGAGATGGGAAGCTTTTTATCTTGTTTGACGAGACCAGTACGTGGAAGGTGATTGGCGAAAACGCCCCATATTTTAACAGTGCTGTCGGCTTGCACACAAGAGATATATGTGACCCACACTACAACGCCTGGAAGGACGTGCCTGAGGAGCACAAAAAGAGGATTCAAAATTGCATGCTGGTATCTATTTGAAACAAATTTTGTTCTAAAAATTTAATTGTAGATATAATATTTAAAATTTATTTGTTGATTTTTTAATGTGTCCCAGGATTGGTTTAATCTCGACTACGACCGCGGCACCGACATCATTAGAGATGTAGTCGATCGTGAAGCTAGTAAATGTTACAAGGACTGGAAGACTACCTTGCACATACACTTCTGGAAGATGGGAGGGACAGAAAAAGAGGATTTTGTTCGGCAAAATCCTCCTAAAAACTTGAGGAGAAAAGAGCAATGGGGACCTTACTGTGATCGTTTTATGTCCCATGCTTTTCAGGTTCAATTACATTATGTCTTAATCCATTTTTGATTAATTAGTTTATTTAATTATTAAGTATGTTATTAATTCATCTTTGATCATTACTAGAAAAAATCTACTACAAATCAACAAAATTGTGATAGTCAAAAGTGGTCTAGCTTCCATGGTAGAAAGTCATTCTCCCAACATCAATTCGATAAGGTAATACTAATTTACATACTTGTTAAGTTTTTGTCACTTTGGCTTAATAATTATTCTAACACGTTCAACTTGATTAGGCCCGAGACTCATGAGCTAAGATCATTAATTGACAACTGGGGTGACATGCACCGTCATGGGCAGAATTTTGTCAATCCAGACGCGGAACATGCATTTGTAAGTAAATTTTAAATTTATTTCTTTTTTCATATTTAACATAATATATTATACTATTTTTATTTATTTTTATTTCATTTACCCTTGCAGGCTCATATGTAGGGGAAAAACCACGCAGATGACACAGTCTGCTGGCGAAGGTTCATCCACGGTGATCAATGAGGAGGGGATTATGTGCCAAGTCTTGGGCAAGCGTAGAGGACACACTAAGAGAGTGGGACCGACACTGCCATGGAGGAATCGTTCAAGCGCTTCCACCTCATCATCTGCTTCGTAATCGGACGAGTCGTCTTTGGTTAATTTGCCCCAGCATGTCCAACACTGGCTGAACAACCTCTACATCGAGCAATGCAACATGTTCGACAAACAGTAGATCATGTTGGAAATCATGTGCTTGATGAATCCCAACATCAACTTCTTGTAAGTTAATTGTCCCCAACCGTTAGTTACTCCGCCGCCTGAGCGAAACAGAGAAGACCAGGATGAGGACGGCGATGCTGTTAATTTAGGAAATTGAAATATTTGTTTATGTTTTTCTTATTCTCAATACTTTTTAGTATTTATTGATTAATTTACTTTTTTAGACTTATTTTATTATTGTGTTAACTATTTTATATCAATCTTTTATTAACAAATAGTCAAATATCAATTTTATTGTTAAATTTTCTTCTAATTTATATATTTAATAATTAATATTATTAGGAAAATACGGTAAAAAAAAAACAATTTTTGCGACGACTAATCTAAAATGTCGTCGCAAATAGTCCATATTACTAGCGACGACATCAATGGCCGTAAAAGGTTTTAAAAACTTTTGCGACGACATCTGTTGTAGCAAATAAGTTAGGACACATCATCATCAACGACATGCTCGACGGAACATTCGTGACGACCGTCATCGCTAATGTATTAGCGACGACATCTCAAAACTATATTGTTGCAGATATATTATTTACGTCTAGTTTTTTACGATGACTAATTTGTGACGATATGTTGTCACAAATATAATATTTGTAACAACAATATAGTTATTTGCGATGACATTTCATCGTTGCAAATAAGTTTTTTTGTTGTAGTGAAATTTATGGTGATCTGTTGCCTAACGTTTTTCCAGTATTTAGCAGCCAGTATGACTGGCTAGCTAGTGCCCTGCAAATTAGTACGAAGGTGTGTGCTGTCAAAATTTTTGTTTTGTTAGGCTTAGACGATGTATTGTATATATGGCGTATAATCTACATTCTATTGATCTGATGTCGTTTTTGCAACTTATAAAAGCTTTGAAAGCGAGTGATGAATTAATTTTTTACAAGTAACTTCTTATCTTTAATTTTGTGGTCGTAGCCACCTTTATATGCGTGTGGAAGTACACATGGTTTCACTTTCAATGTCTTCCTTGTTGAAAGCGCAATATCAAACTTTGGAAATATTTGAAGCATTATTATTCTAAAATAGCCTACGATGCTAGCTCATGACTGGCCGATAAAATATAGAAATTTTTCTTAAATTCACTCTTAAAATTAAATTTGAAATCAATAGTCTTTTTTGTTCACTATTGTCCATTTTATATAAATTTTTTAAGTTAATATATCACTAGGAGTAATTTTGAACTTTTCCCTATAATATATACACCAATCAAGGTTCCAATATATATATATATATATATATATATTTCCTTGTGAGTATAGTTCCAACAAAATTCGTGATGGTCACGTGATAGGGACTTGAAGAAAGAAGGAAAACGCGGTAAATTCAAGGAAGACACCATATTAATTATGTATGAAATTTCCACACAAAATCAAAGCTACGTTGCGCATTATCAAGTTGAATACTAATATATGTGGAAAGTATCGTAATTATCCTTTTAATATCGTCACATTATGCCCAAAAGAGAAAAAGATAAAAAGACCAAAAAAGAAGACCAAAAGAGAAGACCAAAGAAACGAAAACGAAAACAAATACCAATAATATTGATGATCTGTTACCTTGCGTCAGCAGTTTCTCTTCCCATATGAGTTTTGAATATCAACCCCAGGTCCCCAAGTGGACTTTATCATATTTAACACATGACCTCTCTCACCCATATATATTACACATGGGCGAGCCACCCTCAGGTATATATATCATCTGTATGTGTGTAGTAGTTTCGTACGTGAATTGTAAAATATACACACATATATATGTTATCGTTCTCAAATAGTGATATATATATATATATATATGTGTGTGTGTGTAGATATATAATATTATCCAGTTTCTATATATTGAGAACATAAGTATCAGGAAATCTCTTATATACCATATATATTAAAAGCAAAACCAGTTGAAAGAAATGACGAATAATTATTCTCAGCTGCCATTTTCCATTTGCAGACCTCATGCAGTTTCTTTACAACCAAAAACAATCTTCCCCTCTAGGTATTTGTGTGTGCGCGCGTGTGTAACGTACTAGGGCTCACTACCTTGTTAGATTTTATAAGGTTGTTTTTCTTTTTGAATTTGTTAAATATTAGTTGCCTTTAATCATATATAGGGGTTTTATTTTGTTTAATAAAATTTGGGTGCAAAGTTTTAATTTGGGTGCAAAGTTTTAACACTCTTTAATTAGTACTGAAAAACAAAAGAATAGATCTATATTAATGCAAAATAGTGTTCAAACGTGTATTGTATATTGTCAAAATTAAACTAATTAGTTTAATATTAAAAATGCAATTTAATTACAGTACTTATATGTTTATGTTACTGACTACTTACGTTTACATTTTGTGATGATCAATTGATAATCTCCACAGTCCTTCAACGTCGTCCGACAATGAGATCAGGAGAGTGGGTAAGCAAACTAGCTACCTATAATGTCATTAATGCATATATCAATTCAACTATATTTTCTACGCATCTGATTATTTTAGATATATATATATATATATATATCAAGAAACGCGTATAATAAAATAATTTAGCTTTGTAATTTTGTGCAACTCATGCATTATTAATGTGATCCATATATAACACAATTTTCCACAGGCCATTTTACGAAAGTCTCTCGCAGTGTCAATATGGAGAACCTGCGCAACGGATATTTGTTTCCTGAGGTAGGCTATCTAGACGTTAAATACTTTGTCGTTATAATTAGTAGGATTATTTTCGCTGTGCTTTTTGAATTTTAGAGTTATTTTTAATTTACACTTTAAATTTTAAAAACTCTCACACTCTCTCTCATGAATTTTGAATTATCCTCACTTAATCTATTTTCTTGTAATTTTTGTTAAAATTAGAAGGAAAAGGAGACGGTTAAGTGTAGTCATATCGTTTTTATTTTTTTTTAACAAAAAGATTATGTGGCTACATTGTTTTCTTTTTTTATATGTTTTTAACCGAAATTACTATAGAAGGGATTAAGTGAAAACAATTCAAAGTTTAGAGGGCAAAATAAGAGGTTTTTAAAGTTCAGGGGGGCAAACTAAAAATCACCTTGAAGTTCATGAGCATCAGTGATAATAATCCTAATTAGTATTTAGCTGCTAATTTTCTGTATGTTAATTCTTCTATATATTAAAAATATCCTGCCAAATATTATTGTTACTTTATTTTATTTTGTATTTTGTTTATTTTTATGTCTGATCTCGCCAGATATCGAAACGAGCATTTGATCATACTCAGAAGCACCCAGATGCAAGGTTGATAAGACTTGGTATTGGCGATACCACTGAGCCTATACCAGATATCATAACGTCGGCCATGGCTGAGGTATTCATATAAACCAAAACTGCCTTCACAAAGCGCACTTCAAATTGCTAATTATAACAATTATAAACTACTTTTCTTCATGATATATATTTTTTGTGGTAATTTATTTATTTACCTTTGGGTCAATTTAAAAAAATAAAAATCGAACTTTTCACAAAATCTACGTTGAAATCCAGATATCATGTTAAAACGTCCTAAAAGCGGTCTTAGTGTGTGACAGAGTTGATAAATATTTATTGTCAATTGATTGTTAAAAAAATGGCCGATCGAACACAGCAGTAAGTCGTGTGTGAGGGACACTACTTGGATTATTGAAGTGGGTGGGTTGCAAATGCTGTTAAATCCCTATCAGACGTTATAACATAGCAGGCGAAATATTAGTCCACTAAAAAAATATGTTTATCATACCAAACTGTTATTCAAACAATTAATCACACTCTGAAGGTCAATATACAAAAATGTCCATTAATTTGTTTTTTTATGGAAGACAAGTGAATTTGTGATTGATTATAAAAATTTTAACTAGATCGAATGAAAGATACTATATTATATCTGCTACACTAAAATATATAGTCGGATCAGGTTAGTAATTTTAAAATGTTTGAAAAGTCAAGAACCAATTAGATGAAATTTTTGGCAGGGCCCCCCCCCCCCCCCCCCTTTTTTTTTTTTTTTTACCCCCCTAGCTTTATTATTATTTTTAATATGGTTTTAATTTTAATATAGTAGGTATGTGTATAAATTAAATTTGAACCCCTTTAAATTAATAGTTCTCTATATTTTATTGGGCCAAACCATTTAGATTTTTAAAAATAAAATATTTAATTTTTTTAAGTCCATAAATATTAGTATAATCTTGATTAAAAAAAACATCGTTACTGTTGCTAGCCAAAAGAATAGATGGAAATTTGTGTAATTTTGGAGACCATTTTTTATTAATCCATTATCTTTTTTTTCTTGGGGAAGTGAATACGTTATGAATTGTATTTGTGCTTCTTTTTTTCCCATTGTTTTGGCAGTATGCGAAAGCTCTATCAACAATTGAAGGTTACAACGGTTATGGAGATGAGCAAGGCAACATGGTACGCATAAGAATTTTGAAGTTTTAATGTTTCAAATATGATACACTTTTATAATATTCATTTCTATTAATTAAATAAGAAAAAGTTTGATTGGATTATCTACTTCACTCTGCACATCTTATAATTTGTGTAAGAGATCCATGAAATTAAATTAATTAGTGTACATGGATGCAGGGTACGTATGGAAATTAGCTCGAACATGTTGATATCTATACTTCGATTTTTGTGCGATTAGAAAAAAATAAAAATAAAAACCCATGACAAAATTTTGTTTTATAGAAAACACACGAAATATCTCAATAATATTCTTGCATTTCGATCAACATGTATACTGACAGAACTGCAATATGCGGCGAATGGAAATGTGACAGGTTTTTATTCGTGTTCTGAGTTTTGTTGTATAGAAGAAAATGAAACCAGTAAATCAAACCAAAGAAAGAAAGGATAGCCTATTTTGACAAATTCTCCCCAAAGCAAATAATTAATCTCTTCCCAAAATTTTCGTTTTCAAAGTAAAACCAGACTACATACTCTTCAAGATTAAAAATTCAAACTTAGATAATGAATCATCTTTTATACATACATATATATAAACTTAGCAACTTTCCTTGCATGTAGGTTTTAGACTTTTAGTCCTTTTTTCCTAGGAGATATACTCATAGGTCTCGTTTGGTGCACATGATAACATAGTATAGTTTTAAGGTAATGGATTGAAATGTATAAGAAAGTATTGAACAAGAATTTAGTTTAGTTTAATCCCATATTTGGTATTGTGTTATTAGGATAAGGGCATTTTTATAAAAAAAAATTAAAAATTTAGGGTCAATTTGTAATTTTTTAAACTTTGAGGGGTACAAATATAAGTTTTGAAAATATTTTACTTATATAAAAATTGCACTTTGATCCCTATACTTTAAAAAATACAATTAGACCATAAATTTTATAAACATTTACAAATAAATTCTAGTGTTTTTCCCAATGTGCTTTAATCAAAAGTTATCCCATGCTTCAGTAGGGGATAGCAGCATCCCCTTCTAAGGGGTTTAATAATGGATTGGATAAAAATCCAGTCCTTTAAAAATGTGCACTAAACACATGTATTAAAATTTAATTTTATCTAATTCTCTTTAATCCTGCGCACAACAAACTTTTTGAAGCTTGGAATTCTGATTAATTAGTTGGACAAGAATGGGTTTCATACTGTGCATTAATTTTCGTTTGAAATCTTCATAAGTTTTTTTTTGACAAATACTCGATTAATGTTTTTTAAACACTACCATTCGAATTCCTAAGCTTGACTTGAATTTTATGGTGACTAAAATTCCTTCATATCCATTGCCGCAGGCATTAAGAGTGGCAATTGCAGAAACGTTATATAGAAATATGGGAATTAAAGGCAATGAAGTTTTTGTATCGGACGGCGCACAATGCGACATTTCCCGACTTCAGGTTAATTACATACCACTCATGATCATATTGCATGTTATCAAAAGAAAAAAAATATACATTATATGCAATATGATTTTTTTTCTTTATATAAAAAATACTGATCATATTGATATATATGGACAATATTATACGTACTAATAATTAAAAATTAGTTACAATTAACAAATTTTAAAACTAACCTAAATAGTAATTGTCATTCTTGCTATTTTGCTTTGGATTAATTTAATGCCTTTTTATTTTTTATTTTTTCCAAAGCATTGTGCAACCTCATGACCACCCTTTTACCATTTTGGCAGATGCTTTTAGGGTCCGATGTGACTGTGGCTGTGCAAGATCCTTCTTTTCCGGTAAAATTGCCACGACGAATGCATGACATTCATTTTTTAAAATAATACTAAAGACAGTTTAGTTCGTTTATTTAAAATTTTAATTTGAGTTGAGATGTGATTTTATGTGAGAGTTTTTTACTATAATAAAAAAAAGATGTAACTGTTTCTAAGAGCTTTTTACTATAGCATAACTCAAATTCTAAATTCGAATCAGTGAAATAAACGGAGCATAAATATCCTAATCGAACCAAGTTGAATTGGGTCGAGATATAATATATGGTGTACAAATTGAGTCCACAATTTATTCACATTCCAATTCTATCTATCAAGATATGTAGCATTTTCTTATGTAATATCGGTGACTCGTAAGTTTCGCAAAACAAAATACAAATCAACATAAAACTGTTTTTGAACATTCATTAATCGAGTTAAGACCACTAGACTTTGCGATTCTTAATTTGTCATGACTTTTTAGAAGACCATTGAACTTCCTGCTTCCTGTTTTGATCAGGCATACATCGATTCGAGTGTCATTTTTGGCCGAGCCGGAAAATTTGAAGAGGAAACCGGCAAGTATGGGAACATTGTGTACATGAAATGCAGTCCAGAGAACAAATTTTTCCCAAACTTGTCAATCACTCGGAAAACAGATGTCATATTCTTCTGCTCTCCAAACAACCCAACTGGTAATGCTGCGACCAAGCTCCAACTCCAACGACTGGTGGAGTTTGCAAAAGCAAATGGCTCCATTATAATCTATGACTCCTCATATGCTGCTTTCATCTCGGATGAGAGCCCCAGATCTATCTATGAAATTCCCGGAGCCAAAGAGGTATGTCCCTGACCAAATTGGTGCCCAAGAATTATGTTCACGTGGCAATATTAATTTGAAGATTTTCGTATTCAAAATTCCCCTGTTTTTTTTTTTTTTTTTTTTTTTTTTTTTAGAAATCCCCTCTTTTTTTTTTTTTTTTTTTTTTTTTTGCTTATAGAGTTTGGGGCCAAATTGAGACACAAGTATAATTCGGGGTGATCTTAAAAATGAAAACTTCAAATAGTGCCACATGTCCAATTCTGTCAAAAATTTGAAAGCAATTTGGATAGAAGGAATTTCTTGCAACGGTTTGATAGTTTATGGAGCACATTTACGACACTATAAAGTTTGAAGAGTAAATTGAGAAACTAATCATGTTCTGAAAAGACTTAAAATTAATCCTTTATATAATTAATGAAAACCAAAATATATCTGTCAGTCCATAATCACCGGAGTATTTTCTTCTCCTACTGTGTTGCTTACTTATGTATAAATATGTATTGTTATTCTTCGTTTAGACCTTGTTCTTATTGAAAAAATTGAATATGTAGGTTGCAATAGAGGTTTCTTCCTTCTCCAAATTTGCTGGGTTCACAGGGGTCCGCCTTGGTTGGACGGTTGTCCCGGAGGAGTTGAAGTACACAAATGGATTTCCCGTCATAAAGGATTATGACCGCATTGTCTGCACTTGCTTTAATGGCGCGCCCAGTATCTCTCAGGCCGGAGGGCTAGCATGCCTTTCTCCACAAGGTTACGAGGTTAGAAAATCTATTTCCAAGTAAGCAAAAAAAAAAAAAAAAAAAAAAAAAAAAAAAAAAACCAACCCCATCTATTTGAGTGATAATTTTATGGGAGTTTCTCTTATAGGTCAGTCCTACTGACATGGTTAATTTCTGACTGTTAAATTATGTTAAAATTTTATCATATTAAAAAAGTATACATAACAGATAATTTTTAATACATATCTAACGGTTGAAAATGGAGAACTATCGGTAGTTTATTTTTTCTGTCCTACAAGAGAAGCTCCCTAATTTTACACTAGGGTATGAAAACATATTTTATCAGTAGGGTTGTATTTTAAATCGTCACATTTAAACGCTTCTTTAATTCTGATATGGTTTTAATTAGATTTTACGCTTCAGAAATATGCATTATAATAGGGTGTACCCCTATTGTAATAACCTCATTATTTGTAATATGCTAACTCCATGCATTTAATTTCTTATTATATGTGGATTTTGTTTCTAGCATTGTTTCTCAATCATGCACATGTTGTTTGTGCAACTACTATTTCAAGTACAATGATCACGATCCGCACAATTACTACCAGATTTCATTCTTTTTAGTCATAATTGTCCAGTTTTAATCGTTGATCCATGAAAAATTTCTAAAATTACATTAGTTTATAAGGCAACTAACTATGAATACATTGCAATATTGAGCCTACACACAGTACTAGACAGGAGCCTTATAAAATAGACAGGTGAAATTGATGATGCTCGTAGTTAGGACTATTGGCAACATTGTACTATACTACTCATTTGACAGTGATCATTTTATGCATCTAAGCTTACATTTTCCTCCCCGCCCCCCAATTCAATAAATCTTTTGCAGGCAACAACTGCTGTGATCGCCTACTACAAGGAGAATGCTAAAATAATTGCTGATACATTCAGATCGCTCGCGTTGAAGGTCTACGGCGGCGAAAACGCGCCTTACATTTGGGTACATTTTCCAGGGCAGAAATCCTGGGATGTTTTCAACGAAATTCTTGCCAAAACGCACATTGTCACCATTCCAGGTAGCGGATTTGGCCCTGCTGGTGAAGAGTACATGAGATTTAGTGCTTTTGGGCGTAGAGAAAATATACTGGAAGCCTCCAGGAGACTAAAATCTCTTTACAAATGAAGTAGTTAATTACTATTTCAACATATATATATATATATATTTAACTTGGATATGGAAATATAAACTCTTTACTTCAAGATAAATTCATATATGATTTACCGTTAATCTAAATCTATAACTACAACCACTAGTACTAGTTCTTTTTGAGCCTTTTTTTTGTTTGTTTGTTATTCTTGGTTAATTTTTAACTGTGACAATTTTAGAGGTCTCTTCCTAGCTTGAAGAGGCAATTAATCATATGACACACCTGGGAAATTATATATGTTGCAAAAATGTTATTTGGTATGATGGGCAATACTGTTCCTAATCCTATTATTGTTCTTACGTGTTTTGCACCATTTCTATGGATGGAAACCCCCCGTGAACGTTCATGTAAAAATTATACATAAACGAAACTTCCTAACGTTGTCAATATCTCGATAGAGTAATCGTTCCAATTCAAAGTTAATACTCCAATTCCTATATAAATCCATCACTTTTTTTTAAAATAAATAAATAAATAAATAAAATGTATTGCATTAATTGAAGAGTGGCCAAATTGCATTGACAATATCCGCAGTACAATCAGGAATTTGAACGATCATATTTTGACAAAAGAGTCAATTGTGCTAGTGTGTGTACTGCTCTGTTACACTCTCAAAGAACTGAACAGCAATTACCACCACCAGACTGCAGACTCAGGTCCCATTTAATTTGATTAATCCGAGTTTTGTTACGATTTTCAGAAATAGTCATATTTAATTTTTTTATTATAATAAAAAATTCTTATATAAAATCACATCTCAACTCAAATTAAAAACTCGAATCAACGAATTAAACGGGCCCTCAATCTCCGATTCCTATCTCAATCCATCATTTTTTTTTTTTTAACGAGATATCTCTCACTTTTCCTGTCTTATAAAAGTGTGATACTTTAATAATGCATAATAATGTAGATTATACAAGTCACCGTGCACTACAGGAAATAAACAAGATGTATTATTGCAATTACTTTTCTGACAATTATGTTATAAAGAATATCTATACACGGATCATGAGTTCATCAGATTACAAAATCATACCCGATTAAGAATGATATATGGTCATTTAACTTTGAAGCTTTGTCCAGCATGCAGTACCCATTCATTCTTACATGTAATGCATGTTTTTGAAGACTAAATCTAATTAAAATCATATCAAAATAAAAAATATACGAAACTGATAATTTTTGATATAAATGAAACAATTCAAACAGAATCTTACCAATTAATTGTTTACTCAATACCTACTAACGTAGTGTGAGGGAATGAGGAAAAAAAAAATTTCATAGAAACACGTCGAAAAGGAGAATCATAAAAAGTAGAATAAAGAAAAAAAAAAAAAAAAAAAAAAGTTGACACAAGGAAAGGGGGGGGGGGGGGGGGACAAGGAAAGTGGAGGGGGGAGGGTGATGAAAAGAGATTTTGGGTCTTTTAAGTACATTAAGATTAAGATTAAGAAAATGTTAAGATAAGATTAAAATTAAAAATAACATAAGATCATGATTGAGGTAAAATAATAAGGTGTTGTTTGGTGTAAGAGTTCTGAATACGAAATTATGATTCTGATTCAGAAGCAGTGTTTGTTTACAAAAAGTAAAAAGTGGTTCTAATTTGACTCAATCTGAATCAGTATTTAGTTAGGATGATTCTGATTCAAGATTTGAACCATGATGTAATATTTTAAATCATGAATCACCCATGATTTTAAAACTACCTCCTCCTTAGTTTTTGGTGGTTCAAATTCCTGATTCTAATTCTGGTTTCAGAACCATGATTTAGATAAAAAATCATGAATTATAGTTCTAATTTCAAAATTAAAATTAGAATCACCTTTGTTTGAATCTCGTACCAAATGAACCATAAAATGCCCTTTTTTTCTTATATAAAAAGAAAGCAAAAGGGGGGGAAAAAAAAACTTGGTCAGCAAGAAAACCTCAACTTCTTCGGTATTTCTTCGGTTGAGCAGCGCTGAAAAAGTCAAAACTTTCAACTAGAAGACAAATGAGGGCCTTTCTCAACTGTAGGCCAAGACAAAGTGAAATGCTTGTTTCCCAAGACAAAGGCCCAACTCAACCGCCTATAAATACACCCATCAACCTGTATTTTCTACCCATTCAAAGCAACCAAATTTCAGCTCATAACTTTTGACTTTTATTTTCTTTATTCATTCATTTATTTTTTTCATTGCTATGGCAACTCCTGGTTACTACATCGCTGAAGCTCATGTAATGAGGAAGCTCCACAAGGAGAAAATGAAGCAAATTGAGGAAGAAAGAGCCAAGAGATCAGGCGACGACGTCGTTTCGGGGGTGAAAAGATCAAGCACTGGCTGTTTTGGGATGTTCAAGAAAATCCACCCAAGAAATAATGTTGCTCAGACCATGGGCTCGGCTGAAGAAGAAGAAAAAGAAGTCAATAACTTGGATTATAAGGCTTTATAGCGTCTGAATGAAGAGGGAAGAGTATTTTCCCATTTGGGTTTTGTTCTGTAACTTTAGCTGTTACGACTATATTGAAATAAATAAATAAATAAAAATCTGCGTTTTGGTTCCCGAAAGAAAAATTGCGTTTATTTTCCCTTCTTAATCTCCTAGCAAGTAGCAACAGAACATTCCTTCGTTGTATTGTGGATTTCTCTCTTCATCCAAAAAGTAATCACATTAGTCAACCACAAAGAGTTCAAAAGTACAATTATCAAAAAAAAAAAAAAAAGAGTTCAAAAGTACCATGAATTAAGATCATAAAACGATTCCCATTTCATTATTTAGTAAACTCTAATGATTCCTTAAGTTCCAATAAAAAATATTGATAATTAAAGTCTTTGCTAACCCAAAAAGATTAATGGCATCAAGGTGTTACGATAATTTGATGTACCAAAGTTATACGGATACAGTAAAACACAGTGTAATCTGTTTGTTTATCACAAAGTTCTATAAAAAAAAAAAAAAAAAAAAAAAAAAAAAAAAACAAATTTTTTTTTTTT